GGAAGTGGCAGCCCCCTCCCTGCCATGGGCCGGAGGTGCCAGCCTCAGACCCCGCCGGGCTCCCACCGCCACCTCCCAGCACATCCACGGGGACCTCACACCACAGAGGCCACCCCTGAGACAGACGTCACCTTGTTGTCCTCAGCCCAGGGCTGCAGGTTCTGCAGGGCGTAGAGGGAGGAGTTGTGCATGCAGAGCGGGTCCTGGGGCAGCGGCTGGCTCAGGCTCTTCTGGAAGGCCTCCTGCTGCAGGTGCAGCATCAGGCGGTTGGCCTGCTGGCGCTCCGCCTCGCGCTCCTCCGCCGTCTGCCTCCTGCCAGCACACACGGCCCGTCCGGCACTGCCCCGCTGCCCGCGCCTCTTGCAGCCCGTCCTGCTGCCAGCGCCACTGTGTGCCGGTGAGACGATGCCCCACAGCCCTGTCTGTCCCTTGGCACCACTGTGCACCAATGCAGAACTGCCCCACGGCCTCTGCCCTGCAGCCTGTCCCTCTCTCGGCACCTCTGTGTACCCGTCTGGCAGTCCCCTGCAGCCCTGTCCTGCTACTGGCACCGCTGTGTGCCAGTGCAGCAATGCTCCCCAGCCCCATCCCTCTCAGAACTGCTGTGTGCCAGTGCGGCAATGCTCCCCAGCCTCTGCCCCACAGCCCTGTCCCTTTCTTGGCACCACTGTGCACCGGTCCAGCAGTGCCCTGCAGCCTTGTCCTGCTGCTGGCACCGCTGTGTGCTGGTGTGGCACTGCCCCACAGCCTCCACCCCACAGCCCTGCCCCTCTCGGCACCACTGTGCACTGATGCAGCAATGCCCCGTGGGCTCTGCCCACAGCCCAACCTGCTGTCGGCACTGCTACGCACCGGTGCAACAATGCCCCACAGCTCCTGCCCTGCAGCCCATCCCTCCCTCGGCACCACCATGCCTCATGTAGCTGGGCACAGGGGATGCGGTGAGGATGGGCACCCCATCTCGCCTCAGCCCAGCCTCCTCCGGGGGGCACAGCTGTGGTGGGGGGGTGGCTGCCAGAGGGAGGCAGGAGGTCAGAGCTGTGGGGGCTGCGGCAGCTGCCCCGGGGCTGGCCCTGTTACCTCCACTTGGTGCGGCGGTTCTGGAACCAGGTCTTGACCTGGGCGTCCGTCATCTTGAGGGCCTTGGCTAGGGTGGCGCGCTCGGCCGAGGCCAGGTACTTCTGGCGGTGGAAGCGCTTCTCCAGCTCACAGATCTGCACCCGGCTGAAGGAGGTGCGCGGCTTCTTCCGCTTGGGCGGCGTGCGGTTCTGGTAGGGGTGCCCGATCCGCCGGGTCGCCGCGAAGGGCGACAGCGCGGCTGCGGGTGGAGAGGGGGTGAGGGGCTGCTTGGGGGAGCCACGGGCAGAGCACCCTGCTCATCGCTGCTGCCGCACGGGCAGGGGCCAGGCAGAGCCCCTGCTGAGGGCAGGGCAGGAGTGGGCGCAGCGCAGGAACCCAGGGGGGATGCTCAGATGCTCGGGGCCATGGGGAGGGGGAGCTCTGGGGGGGCCACCAGCGCTGCCTGGCAGAGAGGAGGGGAGAAGGAGACCCCGAGTCATCCGACTAGCTCCCACAGCCCAGGGATGCGCAGGGCAGCTCAAGGCGTGATGGGAGGGCCAATCCTCACCCTGGGCCCCCATCGCTCCCCCAGCCCGGCAGGTGGGGACTGGGGGCGGTGGGGGGGCTGGGTCCCATCGCAAGCACGGAGCCAGCAAGGCTCCCGGCAGCACAGACCCACCCTTCCCCATGTGCTGAGCCCTGCCGCAGCCCCAGAGGAGCCTCCACGGCACAGCCGGGACTTCCCATCCCTCCCAGGGAGGGGACAGGGCCCCAAAAGCCGTCGGGAGGCGGCCGGCATCTCCCTCCATGTGCCAGCAGCTTCTGGCTGGTTGCCGCCAGCTGCCCAGGGGCTGGGGAAGGGGCTGTCCCTGCGTGGCTGAGGCATGAGCCAGGGACTGCGAGGCTGGTGTGCCGCATCCCAGCCCTGGATGCAGCTGGAGTCACAGGGAGTGTCAGGAAAGCGATGCAGCGTGGAGGAAGGTGAGAGCTTGGTGGGGCGCAGCACCCAGCCCCCGTTCCCCTCCTGCTCCGGTGGCAGCCCACAGCCAAACCACAGCCCTGTGGCACTGCGGCCCTCGCCGGTGCCAGCACCACACAGGCAGGGCTGCACATGGCCGGGCCTATGGGACCGCCATGGGGCCCCAGCACCCCATGCCACTGGGACGTGGGGCAGACCCCACAGCAGCCCCAGGGACAGCCCGGCGCCCAGCAGACCCTCCCCGCAAGGCCAGACCCTCCCTCTCGCCAGCACCCAGGCAGGCAGTGCGGGCAGGCGGCCAGCCTGCCCGCCGGCAGGGGCGGACGTGGTTGACGCAGGTGGAGCCGCACAGTCGGGGGGACAGAGGCCCCCGCGCCCCCTCCCCGCATGGGGCGGCCCCTCGCTGGGAACAGATGCCGACAGCCCGCAGACCACCCCAAGGCCGGTGGCGCTGAGTGATGGCTGTGGCTGGGAGACCCCGTGCCGGGGAGGGGCCGCCCCGTCCACCCACCGCTGGCGCCAGGCAGGAGACGGGGACGTCACCCACCACCCCTGCGTGGGTCGGTGCTTTGTCACTGCTGGGATGGCGGGGTGGGCCAGGAGGCGAACCTGACTATGCTGGCGCCCGGGCTGGGCCCCCGCAGCCCCCGGCCTCCCGCCCCGCATGGCCCCAGCAGCCCCCATAGCTAGCGCTTGGCCCCCAGCCCCCAGCCCCCTGCGGCCCCCAGCCTCATCCCCGCATGGAGCCGTGCGCTGTGGACGTGGCAGCGCCGCCATCTTGGGAAGGAGCCGAGCTGAGCCAAGCCAGGCCAGAGCTCCCCAGCACCCCAACCGCAGCACCCCGCACCTTCTCCTCTGGGTGCAGCGACCGGCAACCTTGCCCCAGCACTGTGTGCTCCGGCCCCCGCCATGGGCGCTCAGCCCCCGGCCCTGTCAGCAGCACCGGGACCCTGCACCACCTCCCCGACACCTGCATCACCATCCGTCCTCCGCAGCCCCGGCAGGCACCGGCCCCAGCCTCTCCCCCGGCACCGGCACCTCACAACCTGCACCCATCCCTGAACACGCGGGTCCCTGACTCCCATCCCTAGGTGCCCCACAGCCGGGCCCCCCAGGAACCCCCCACCTCCTGCCCCCATCCCCGGGGCACAGGGGACAGGGACACCTGCTCCCCGACCCCAGCCCCGCATGCCCGGGTCATTCACCCTGCAGCCCCGTGGCAGGTCCCTGCACCCTGCTCCCAGCACAGCCGCTGCCCCCACCCCGCACCCCCTGGCCCCCGGCAGCCTCCCCGCTGCGGGTGGGACAGGGCCGGCACCCGGCGCCCCCGGGCCCAGGAAAGGGACCGGACTGGGAGCGGAGCCCAAGGCCGGAGCCCGGCAGGACCCCTCGGGCGCCGCTCAAAGCCGGATCCCGGCCCGGCCCCTGCCCGGAGCCGC